AAAAAAAAAAAAAAAAAAAGTGCCAATTCACAGAGAGCCTAAATGACTCATGGGATGCAGTTATCAAAAGCAGTTCAGTGCCAGAGATTTAGCTCAGTGGCACACTGCCTGCCTGCCTGCCTGCCTGCCGAGTGTAAGGTCCTTAGTTCGATTCCCAGTACCAAAACAAAAAACAAAAAAAAAAGTTAATCTTTCCATTAGAGAAACCAAATAAATAAGCACTGTTGTTCCCCTACCTTTCATATTTCAAGAGCTCCCTCCTGCAAAAGAGGTAAACAAGAATATGTTGGATTGTATGCTTCCCTACTCTAACATAAAAAGTATTATCTAACTATGTCAAAGCTAAGCATCCAAGGAGCTGCTGAAACAAAAAAAAAAAAAAAACAGTGGTATAAAATAATAGGGCTAACCCAATCAATAAATAGAATCTAAAGGTAATCAAATTATTTCAAATGACAAAGATAACAGTCATTCTCTATGTTTTTTCATTTCAACATGCAGTTACTGCAAACCTTTATTTAAGAATAAATATGGGGGAGACAGCTCAGTTGAAGAAGTGCTTGCCTGGCAAGTGCAAGGTTGAGTTCAAACCTTGGTACTGAAAAAAAAATCTAATTCAAAGAATAACTAAGAATAAATATAGTAAGGCATGGTGGCCCATACCTAAAATCCTAGCATTCTGGGAGCCTGAGGCAGGAGGATTAATAAATAAGTTTAAACCCAGCCTGACCAACTTAGTGAGTTGGCGAAAGCCTATCTCAAAATTAAAATAAGGGGCTGGGAATATAGCTCAGCGTGAATGACCTGGATTCAGTTCCCATTGTATGCACCAACATAGACACACATGAAAAGGAAAAAAGTCATCACAGAAAACACAAAAATGGCCAACAAATATAAATGCTATTAAACCAGGAGATTTAGTAAATAGTAAAATATCAAAATCAATGACAAAGATTTGGCAAGAAGTTAAGGGAGAGGGACTCTCTTTACTGTTAGTTAAAAAAATGGAATAATCTTTTAAAAGATAATTTATAATATCCATCAAAATACAAAAAGCATATATAGCTTTTCCACTATTATTTCTAACAATTTAAGCTAAATACCATAGTTTAAAGGGCTGGCCAGTGGAGCCTGGGAGATGGCTCAGTAGAGTAAGTACTTCTCTGGCAAGCGCAAGGGTCTGAGTTCAATCCCTGGTTCCACAAAAAATAAAAAATATAAAGGGCTGGCCAGATAGCTCAGCATACTAAAGCACCCGTCATACTTCCTGGTTAGCAGAGTGCAGCGGCCTGCAGTGCTGGCCCCACCCCCAGGGTGTGCTGAGACAGCAACTGAGACTGGGTGTCATGGCGTGTGCCTGTAATCCCAGTGCTTAAGAGGTGGAAAACAGGAGAATCACTGAGTCTAATCTATGTAGCAAGACCCTGTAGACCCTGTACCAAACACATTTTTAAAAAGACCATATTTTACCTGAAGGCTATATTTCTCACATGTATTCAAGAGAACTCAGTATAGAATCTCTTTAAAGTTTGGGCAAATAATGAAAATGGCCAATGATAATGGAATGGTTAAGTTAATTCCACCACACCTATACTAGGAAATACAATTCAGGATAAAAAATATCATATTAAGTGATAAAAGTAAACCACTGAACAAAACATATTGCTCATATTTCCTGAAAATTCTAGTTTCTTTGAAGTATTTACTATCATACCGTAATACCCATGATCCCCGTTGGTCATCCCATTCACCAAGATTTCAATGTGTTTCCAGCTCTAGTGATCATTGCTACAGGTCTCTGTGTCAGTGTGCTCCCTCAGTTCCCTCAGCCCTTATTTTCCCTCCATCCCTCTTTGGCTATCAGCTGTCATGGTCATACTCTAAAATTTGTGTTTAATTACTTCCCTTCTAAGACACTCCATATTAAGCCCAGCACTTTCTAGCCTTTCAACTTCACTTTCATACCACTCATCTTACTTCTGTAATTCTTTCAATACCAAAATCTCTAGTCCACTGACCCCACTATTCTTTCACTGTCCATCACCTATCTCATATCTTCACTTCTCTCCTTAAATAACTTATACTCATGAATGAACACTATAATAAATCCCTGATAGACACACATCTTCAAGTCTACTGCATCTCTGTCATACTTCTGGCAAAAATCCAAACCCTAATTAAACAATATATTTCTTACCCTAAAAGTATCATAACCTATTCTTACTAAAAGAACTCTGACTTTACTTAGGAACTTCATGTACCCACTAAAACACTCTATTTGCCAGCCTCCCTAGCAATAATATGAAGTCTGTGATACTGGCTTATTCAAAGGGGAGGTCACTGGGCAGGAAGGCTAGGGGAAAGCTCTTTCAAAGAGTTTTCAGTGCCAGTTCAGCTGGCATGCGCTCTTCTGCCCGGTTCCTGGATGTGATTCTAGAGAGGAATCAGCCACCTCATACCACAATGGAACAGGCGCTCTTGAAGGCGTCTAAACAAACAAAAGGAGTTTGAATCTTTATGTCATGGAGCTGCCATGTGAGCCCAGAACTGCTTGTCTCCTAAGTTTTTGTTACCTGAGAAAGATACATAGATAGTAAAATAGTTAACGTAGTTGACACAAA